ATGTTGAAAAAATACTTTCTCAAATTATTTATTAGCAATAAGTATAATTATATCAAAATTTATAATATATAGGTATTAAAATTTAGAAAAAAAATTGAGCGCAATTTTCATGAATATTTTTTTCACTAACTTTAAATTTGTTTAAAAATTAAAGAAATTAATTTGTTACTTATTTACAATTATAAAATTAATTTATTAGTCCGCATGAGAAATAAATCTATATCAATCAATAAACGAATTTATTACTTTGTAAAAAGAAAAAGTTTTTGAACGAACATTGGTTTTGAGCTCTGATAAATTGCACTTTAATTTAAAACATTTTTCTAGACAAATTCAATTTAAATATATTTTCAACGTCTATTTATATTATAATCTTCGAATTAAATAATGTTTCGTTGAGATTATATTGATAAATTTTCATTGGGTAGTGTCATTAGTGAATTCATGATAAACAAAACAAATATTTTGGAGATTATAAAATATGTTATTAACACTCAAGACTGCGCACAAAATCTGAGACTACAGTGAGGCGTTTATCCCTCACAGCAATTCCGTATGGCTCTCTCAGCGATCCAAAGCGATCTAGTAGAAAGCTCTAGTTATAATCAAATATATGGCTAAATGGGGCTAGCTACTATAGCAATACAGTACTGCTCTGAGAGCGATATTTTTTTTCTGCGTATATGGGTATTTAAAAGTGAAAAAAGTTCGCAAGTTACTTCTAATGGAAATTTTTTGAATTAGAATTATTTTTTAAAGAAATTTACGTCGGGGAATCGGTTAAAGTGACTGATGAAAGTAGTTTCATCACATATGCTCCCTTACGCCTCTTAAAGTATTAATTTGATTCGCTCTTTGTTGCAAAGCAGTAAGTAGAAGTAATTTATTTAGATATTATGTTAACGTCAATAATAATTATTATAGTTCTATCGAAAAGATTAATTATTGTTGTTATAAACATAATTAAAAAAAAAAGTAATAATTTAAAAGTTAAAACTCGTAAAAAGCAAGTTTTATTGTTGTAAAGGTCATTCCGTGACATTTAGTTTTTGAAAAGCAATCTTTAATTTTATTGATTTATTTTATGAAATGCCAAAGCAATCAAAAATGATGTAAAATAGAAATAAAATTTGTGTCGACCCGAAACTTTTCTTATAAATAGAAATATTTATAAAGAAACAGAGTCCTAAAACGTTTCTAGGGGAAAATAAGTCATTAAAATTTTTTTTTTAAATAAAATATAATTTTAAGAATCATTTCTCTGAAGTAAAAAATATTATTATTGTTCGTTCCTATTAAAGTTGCTACTGTGTGATATTTATAAGTAATTAATTTATAATTATTAATGTTAAGATATTAATTAATGAGTCTCATCCGTTCAAAATGTTGAATTGATCAAAGATTCTTGAATTTTCTGTATGAGTTTTCTACTGGTAATTCATTCATCAAGCTTCATACTAATGTTATATAAATGTTCGTGCTGGTTAGTTAAAAATTGTTAATCTGTACTTTAAACACGGTTTTAAAAGTAGTTGATAGGATAAATGAGTGAAGACAAAAACGAAAAAAGTGTATTTCTTATATGAAAAGAGAATTTAAATACCTCTGTAGACGAATAGGGTGCAATTAAAAGTTAAAAGCTGTGGTAGAGAAACTACCTAAAGTGAGATGGTCCTTTGATTTAAACGTTCATACCACAGTCTCCCTCTTAAACTGCAAGTTCTGGGAATGAAGCTCTCGATCTCGACTACGTGACATCAATTAATTGCATTCGAATTACCGTTCACACTCATTCATACAAACATGTGAGTGAAAAAAAAAACGCCAGCGTTTATATGTACAATTTTTTCTCTTCTAAGATGTAACTAGAAGAAAAATAGTCGTACAACAAATCTAAAAAAGCAAATTGTAGACTTCAGTGTTCATTTTTTAATTTACCATTGATATATTTTTTCAAAATTTGAATTTCTCTAAAATTCTGATTATGTCAAATTAACGGAGATTGTATTATAAACTCACTAAAAGAACCTTATAGTGAAATCATCCACAAAGTTTTTTTTAATAAGTTCTAGACTGTTTTTAAGATGACCGAAAATTTTGAATTTTATTTTTTTTAGATTGTTCTGAAAATACCTAAGTTAAAATTTTTCAAGGCCAAATCTGAAATCTGGATACTCAAAGCTATAATTTCTTTTTTTTAGATTTGTTGTAGGACCATTTTCCTCCACGTTATAGCCTGCTGAGAATCACCAGTTAATTTTGATTTAATTCTGTATCCCTTGACCAGTGTATATTTAATTATTTTGTTTTCAATGTTTAGAATTTATTTATTATTGAGTTCTGTCTGTAGAAAGAACACTTGAATTAAAGTCAACAGAAGTGCTTAGAGATAACGTTAAACTGTAAATAAATAAATAAATTAAAAAAAGACGGACAAAAATTATTTATTGCATTGTAAGATTAGAGAAAGAGGCCTTCTTGATAATGTCCAAAAACGCCAGTACTGTTATAATAAAAGTAGATACTCTCTCTTACGGATTCATCGAAGCGACAAATAACTCCAAATAACGTTTGGGGATTACTTAGTTACCGCAATACAGTTGTGGCCCATTCGTAACACAGGGTGGTAACTAGGTTTAAGGCCAAGTACGTATGTACATACACATAAATTTAGTATCTGTGCGACGATCAACAAGGACCAGGATACCACCACTACACGTGTTCCATGTACACTTGAGACCTTATAGAATATATATACACACATGGACATCAGGCTCTTTATCCCTCACATTCGACACGTTCACCGACAAGGGGAATTGAAAAGCCGTCTGGCCATCCGGGACAGCTTATCCGGGGGTTCTTCGCCTCTTCGCTTATATCATTCTACTGTACGGGTCCCACAAACCTTTACGTAGCAGGTTCTTTTCAGTTTGCTATTTAAACAACATCCTATGTTTATTTTGTTTTTTTAATTTTTTTATATATTACGACAAATCTTTTAGAAATTTTGATATGTCCAAGATGTACAAATGCTTCTAAACTAGATTTTTATAGTTGAACCGTTTTTATTATACAGTGTACACCAGGACGGGTTCGACAATCTTTATTGGGTAATTATTATTTTGGGAGTCATGTACCCGTGCAAAACAAAATTCTGATTCAAAATGAATTTAAATCTGAATTTTAGATTGAAATTTATGTTTTATCGCAAATATGAATTAGTCTAGATCTCAAATTTTAAGTAAATGATTATTGTTTGATAATTAAAATTGGCCACCATTAATTTATCACGAATGTAAATTGATTTGAAACAAATTTAATGTGATTTACTTATAAATAATGAATTCTTTAACAGCAAATCAAATGTGATTCGGCTTGAATTTAATCTACATTTAAAATAAGATTTGTGAGTATACGATAATTCTCAATGGCAGAAAAATTCTCGAACCAAGAAAATAATATTGAAGAGTTTCATTGTTTTGGATGAAAACAAAAAATTCTTGGATCAAATAAAATTCACTTAAACCAAGAAAAATTCCTCAGTCTAAGAGTTTTTCTGCTCAAATCAAGAAGATAAAATTATTCAAAATTATTTACTTGATTCAAGTTAATATTTTTTCTGTGTATTAAAAACATTTTTTATTAAAAACAATCCGTAATTTGAAATAAAATTATAAAAAATGTATCCTAAATATTTTTAAGTCCTTATTAAAATTCTGAAGCAGAATCGAAAGTTCTACAGACGTGCTAATTTCTATCTACAAATCAATTTCAAATTTGGATTGACCTCAAGACTTAATTGATATTTGTGTCAAATTATGAATGTCAATCTAAAATTCACACGCATAAAAATTATTTGTTAGGACAACAAAAACAGGGATAACAAAAAAATATGCTGTGATAACAAATGAATTTACTAACAATAACAAATCAACTAGTTCATTTAACAAGATCAACTAAGTTGCAATAACAAATGAGTTAAATATGAGAATAAATTTTTTTGTTGCAATAACAAAATAGTTTTCTAATCAATAAAATTTGTTACTTGAACAAGCTATTCCGTTGCTTTAACAAATCGATTTGTTACTTCAACAAAACTATTTTTTTATAATAATTGAAAGATTCGGTCGCAATAACAAAATAATTTTGTTGAGTGAACATATGAATTACTTATTATAACCTATGTGTTTATTAACACAACAAATTATTTGTTATTCCTATATCAACATAACAATTTGTTGTCACAACTTATTTTTTGTTGCTCTAACAAAAAATTTTTCTGCGTGCAGATTTAAATTAATTTTGAATCAGAATTTTTTTTTTTTGCACGGGCAGAGGTTACTGGTGAAATATGATGCAGGAGACATCGAGAAGCAGTAAAGTTGGGTACTTTTACCTGATCTTGGTTGAGAATGGAACGATATTTTAATGAGGCAATTTCTTTGTGAGTTTTTTACATGCCAGATAATAGTAATTTAGAAATGAATTCAAATTTCACACATCAATTATAATAGCAAATGTAATATTTGAGAATAAATATTCGTTAATGTGATCTATGGAACAGTCCATACAAAATTTGAATAGATTGGTACATTTACCTAGACAATAATTATCTTGATTGCTCGTTGGTCAGACTAAGCGAGCAGTTAGACCGCAGGGCAAATTCTACAGAGTGAATATGCTCATTGCTCTTTGATCCTTTCATTTGCTCGTATATTTTTAATTAATTATTCACAATGTAATTTATTCTAATAAAATAAAATAAAAGAAATGATAATAATCCATTGTAAATGAAATGAATAAAATGAAGAAAAAAATGATAAAAAATTCATTAGGTTATTAAGATTTTTTTCCTTGTTACATTTTGTGCAACATAATATGCAACGTAAGGAAGGGGATGAAATTCATTCAGTTAAGTAGTAAAAACTGTTTACAGTAGAATAGTGGATGGGGTCAAAGAGTTTCCCAGTCATTGGGAGTGGTAAGTTTCTAGTTACATGTCACACAAACACTCGATCATTGTTTGACGCTTCGAAGTAATCGAGTGTATCCAAAAGTATCTAAAGGACGATAATATCAAATTTACTAGAAACAATTGCCGCATGCGCTCGTATATTCCTCAAATAGATTCTATATATTCTCCACTTTTATTTTATTATATTTATTTCACAGGATAATAGTTTTGTCGTGAATGAGGTCGCGTGCTAAAGGGTCGCATGCGACACTTCTCTAGAGTACTGTCAACCGTCACATTGACGTGATTATTCAAGTACCACGTACTTCATGCCGGTTACATTGTAAAGAGTTTATAATTATTATATAATTTGTTAAACATTCCTTACTATAAGTTTATCTTTAATCAAATCTACAAATATTTACTTGGGTTCATTTATAAAAAAGCCTATGTTTACTAAAAAGATTTTTAAAATTATTAATATTTATCTTATTAACAATAGTATCATGCTATACTTTATATTTCGGTTTATTAGATTAATGTTTCTGAAAGTATAGTTCTTAGTCGATTTCTTTATAATTCTAACTATTGTATTTGGTCTGATGACAAAAGTTTCTGAAAATTTTGTGATTATATGTTGCCAGTTATTCTACATACGTATGTATGAAGTTATGTACGTATATATGGGACATTTCACGACAATCTACCACTTTCAAACTCGAGCCCCCGCAGAAAAATTCTTAAACCAAGATATTGTTCGTCGTTTGAGTAAATTTCACTTGGATCTAGAAATTTTTTGCTTGATTCAAGATAAATAAATTCTTTAAAATAATTTTCTTGGTTCAAGAATGTTTCTCGTGATTCAAGTTTATTTTTTATTGATATTGGTTTGTACACTAATTAGGGATCGGGATTCAGAAAAATACACGCAATGGATTGATATAAATTTCACCAAATAAGCTTCTAACTATGCTCAGAATGAACGCTATCATTTTTTTTATCAAGCTCATAACCATTTAAAAATATTAACTAAAGTCAATTGATTTTTTTAATTTATCGGTAAAATTAGTTATTTTCGTAATTCTAATATCAAATGCACATTTACATAGGTACATTTTATTTCTTGTTTAAAGTATTTGTCATTTACACGCTCAACTAATGCTACGTCAAAAAACTATACAGTCAATATTGTGGAATAATATCTTTTTTCCTGATGCAAATAACTTCTTTTTGTTTTTTTTTTTTTTTTATTATCTATTTTTCTTTAAAAACTATCAGTAGTCCCTGAATTTCATTTTTTTTTCTATTCATAATAGAATGTGTATTTTTTAATTTTTTAAACTTCAAAAATGAATAATCATACGAATTTTTCTCAAAATAGTTACTCTTTAACGTAAGTAAATTTTTTATTTATTTCAAAGGAAAATGCGGTTATAAGATGTAAAAGTATATATTTTATTAAAGCTCACCGTTTCTCGTGGAGGACTCCAACATTGTGGCGAAGAACTTTTCTGTGAATTATTATTATTAGATGCTGGAGTGGTAGAGGTGATAGTATGAATATTTTGCATTGATGTAGCCGAAACATCATCATCTTCGGTGGTTTCTATATCGACTTCATCATCGGAATCATCGGTTTTGTCGACAGTAACCTCTGAAGTAGAATCTTCTCGTTGTATCGGCTCAACTATCGGTGATGGTCGGATTACTGGACGGAAAGCCGATTGGTGAAGTGATGAGGTTGCTACAGCTGGCATTATAGCTTCAGTTGTTCCTGTACCACTCAATGGGGATGGTAAGTGTCCTATATTTTGTATGAATAAATAAATAAATAATAATAATGATATGGATGCAAAATATGATGATTGCTTACCTGGAAATAACGTTGATGTCCTTTTATATAACCAAGAAATTGCAGAAGACGGGAAAGCGAAACCTGGCGCTTGTTGATGATGCCACATATCAGCAAGACTTCTAGGTAAAGCAAGTGGCAATTCCGGAAACGGTGGTACTCGTGGTAATACAAGGTGTGCAGGTGGTGTTGGCAATGACGGAGTAATTGCTGGTGGAGTTGAAACAGTAGGTGATGCCCTTGCTCGTTTAGTTGGAAGAATTGGTTCACGGGATCCATGACTAGATAATAGACGTTTTCTAGTTCCACCATTAAACATAGCTTTTACATCTTCCCAGGCGTGAATAATATTATCTGGCGGATTTCCCGAGAGTTTCATGTGACGTCTCCAAGAGTTGAAGTTTGCGGCGTTAGGTTGCACATATTTGCCATTGGCATGGTTCTCATGAGAATGGAAGATAAATTTGTTCGGAGAAAAAAATAGATTACAGAACCTGCACTTTATACACTTTGCACGTGAACTGTTATAGCGGGACGGAACAAAGTCGCCTTGACAGCCGTAGGTGCATTCATGATGGACAGGGAATGCAAAATTGTCTGGAAGTCTGGAAATTTATCGTTTTTTCATCAAATTCAAACTTTTTTAAACTAAGTATGCACGGAAAAAAGTAAACTGTAATAAATAACAGTCGATTTATAATAAGTAATGATCAACTGCTAAAAAATATCATTTCTAACAGTAAAATCGTGATTTTACTATTCACTTTATAATATTTACCATTTAAACATTACAATTTACTCTTTACATGGAAGAAAATACTATTTTAAACAGTAATATTCGCTATGTAAATGTCTAAAATGTTAAAGTATAATAATTAAGAATTCAGACTTTGATATTTATCATTTCGTAACTAAAAAATGATCTTATGATATGTAAAAAGTATAAAATAAAGTTAGTAAATTTCTAATACAAGCAACGTCAATATTTACAAAGTAAAATGGTAAATTTTAAATGCAACGCTAAAAATCAAACTGTAATTATTGACTTGCTTGCACTGGTAAAATGTATATTTTAAAAGTATAATTTTTACTGTTTCAAATGTTAAATTCTCCCAGAATGAGACACCCTTCTCTTTCATCTGAGTTCCCCTTCTCCTCATAATATGGACTATATATTGAAATGGCAATTTTTACTGTTTGAAAATGTAATTTTTTAAGATGAAAGAGTCGTTATTTACTATAGTGACAGCTACTAATCACTTATTTTGGAGATTAAATTATAAATTGTGTCTTTCATACTTTCTACATTAAGTTCTGTAATATTTATATTTTTGCCACCCCGATGTCCGCTTTACTGTTTGAAACTATAAAAATTAACCGGAATCCGAGTGAATATTACAGTTTACTTTTTTCCGTGTGTATTACGCTATTATATGGGGTATTCTATGCCAAATAACCGTTTTTTTTCGCGACCCTTTTCGATTTACCATTTTTTGGTTTCTTATTCTAAACCATTATTGAGTTTATTTTTTTTCTGAGCAAAAAATTTTTAACTAATGATAACGTAAGTGCATTGAAATAAAATTAACTTAACTTAAGAAAAAAAAATTCTTAGAAAATTTCTCAGCTCAAAAAATTTTTTACCTGAAATAGGACGATGGAGCTATTCAAAATTATTTTCTTGGTTTAAGAATTTTTATGTTAAATTGAGTAAATTTTTTTTCAGTGTATTAATCGTTTACATCTATTTAAAAATGAGGTATGCTTTTTTTCAGTTTCAAACATGGTTATAGAAAAAAAAAGTTATATAAAAGAATAACCTCCACAAAAAAAATATGTATGAAAACATTATGCAAAGATAGAATGGTTTAACTTTCATATCATGAATTAGTAAAGTCATAAATTCAAGGATTTTCTGTTTTATTGATATCAGTTTAGTATTTTTTAAGAGATCTTTTAATCTTCCTTTCACTGCATTAAATTTTTAAATTGTTAACAAGCACTTAAGGATAACCGAGACGAATATAAGATATCGTAAAATTTTTTCCATAGAAATAAAAACTAACCTTGGTGGAGAATTATCACTTAAAAATGATTTACACAGTCGTTCAGCTTCACGTCTCGTTATCATGCCGCAACGTCTAGATGATGGAGGCATTGCACCAGCTCTCCTAAGAATCTCCAATTGTACGGGCGTGCACTGGACACATGTGATTCCCAAGGCAACTCTTCTATTGTGGATTTCATTGTAGCTGAATTGCTTAAGGAGAGTGTTGCTGATTTGAGCAAGGCAAAGTCGTTCTTGTCCTTCAATCATCAATGATACTATATGGATTCCATACAGAGACACTGAGCCAACCTGCAACTCCTAAGAGCTATAGATGCACCATGTTGTTCTAGTTATCCTTTTTTTTTTTCTACATAAATTAAGTACTTGTAATTTATTTACAGTATCTTCATTAGATCTCATTTGTGAGTATTAATTTTATTTTAACGTTCATTATACACATTAAATGTGGGTTATATTTATTAATCTGCTTATAGTAACAGTAGATTAATTAATCATAAAGAACATCCGAATTTGCATGAGAAGAGGGTTTTATAATTCATTTTGAAATTTTTTAAAATAACACAAACATTTTTCTACTTCTAAGAGGAATTATAGTAATCTTGATTTTCATAACCGATAAAAGTCTGAAAAATAGAAATAACAAAAGAAAAGAAAAAGCACAAAAAAGAAAGCCCGAACAAATTACCTGGTTCGATTTCGAATGGAGTTGTGGCTGGGGACTTGATTGTGACGATTTCTGGGAGTTGAGGGGTGTCAGCGACAATATCGTTGGTCCTTCCATTCTGTGATAAAAAAAAATGTATTTTTTAATACTCGTAAATACTCGAGTGATTAATTTGAGGTCACTGAAACAATTTAACTTTTATTGAATTTAATAAATTGAACGAGCTTATATAGACTAATACTTTATGCTGGTAATTTAATAGTTACTTTTTTCAATCATTTTATTATTGATATAAATTAAAATGTGATTTTTGAAATTTAATATCTAAGTAACTGAACAGTGAATTTTTTTTAAATTTTGGGGTTAGATAAATGACGTATTTATTTATACGTATACATAATTTCAAAGCTCAAAGTTGGAAATTATTTTTCATATTAGATTCGCTGAAACCTCCTTAATACAATTTTCTTTTGTTTTTATTAGATAACCTTAATATTTGATTGATTTATAGTTGGATTAGCGAGTCTTTGCGCTTCGGGATTTTTTGTTTTTGCCCCTACCATCTCAAATATGTGCTTAAAAAATATTTAGTGCATATAGTTAGCATAAGGATACATTTAATTTGTTTTTTCTATCGATACGCATGTATCAGCTATAAAAATTAGATGATAGGAGCAAAAATCGAAAATACCCGAAGCGCAAAAGACTCGCTAATGCAACTTTAACGTCATTTAAAGAAAGTTTAAGAAAGCAGCTAATTATGTCTGGTGAACAAAGTGTTGAAAGTTTATATTTATATGCTGATTGTGTGTTTGGTTATGATAATAGCCAGTATTTATTCTTTATCGAAGTAGATTAGAGTTTAAAGATTGATAATCGCTGTTCAAAAGGTGTAATAAAATATATTGTAGGTGATACGAAGTTCACCAGGTCAGCTAGTAAGAAATAAAAATACATGTAAAAAAATTTTTAAAAAAGTTATAAAACAAGAAAATAATGAATTAAATTAATTTTCTCCTATAATTCGCGCAGCAAAGTGGGCGGAAACGGCTAGTATATATATATATATATATATTTAATTATTTTATATATATATATATATATATATATATATATATATA